GGACTGGGGGACAGGAGAGCCGCTCTCGCACTGCACACCCGGCTCATTTTGTTTCCCCGCAGCTCCAACGGGAATTGCAATCGCCCGCGATGTAAAGCAGCTTGGGGTTCGTTTGAGCAGAAACGCCATCTGCTGTACATCTCCCCACAAGACAGACGGGTCCCGGTGCCGGACGGGAAACCCCCCGCACGCCCCAAAACACGGCTCTCGGCCAAGGCTTCTCCTGCCAGCCCACCCAAGGTCACCCCAGGGTCCTCCCTCCAGCCCCCGTACCACACAGGGGGTGTAAAACACAACTGAGGGAAGGGTGCAGTACCCAAAACCTTCCCTTAGGAATTTGATGAAAAGTTTGGAGCTCGAGTTTTGGAATATCTGAAGAGGTCAGGACAGCCGGACCTCTCGTCAGGCTTTTCCACCAGCCTCCCCAGTGCCTGCGGGGTGCATGGAGGCAGCATGGCTCAGTGCTAACACCGTCATCCCCCCCCCAACTCCACGTCAAGTCTCCGACCGACTTGGCTCATTCCCGAGCCCTGCTGCCCCACACCGGGAGCTGGGGGTCCGGAACACCCCTCCCATCCAACACAACCACCTGCACCTCCTGCCCAGAGGCTTGGCACCTTCCCCACAGGTTTGGAGAGGGCAGCAGGAGTAGGCTGCCCTTCACCTTCTTGGGTACACAGCTAAGACTTTCTTAAAATTACACTAACATAGGTAAATTCCACTGGAATTTGTACACAAAGGGACTTCGGCAGCCTCCCTGCTTGAAGTTAAACGTGTCTATTGATCCTTCTGCAAGATCACAGCTCAGAAGCGTGATTTAACAAGACCTTCCTTTGCAACGCCGAGGAACCACACTGATGCAGAAATCAGGAGTCATTGGAACAGGCCATTTCTCTTACAGAACACAATTTATTTGGCATTTGGATGAAATGTTTCTCACAGCATCTTGAGGAAAAAAGAAAGATTAGTGCCAACCCCAAAGGAAGAAAAACAAAAAACCAGTGTCACAGGGACTAAATTATTATAGTATCAAATTTAAATTCTACATGGTATTTCACAGAATATCAAAATCTTTTATACACTGCCACAGTTAAGTCCAGTCACAAACCAACTACACAGGAGAAGCCTGCAAATGCAGCGTTGGCTAAAATTATTTTCCAGGAGAAGGTAAACAGCAGCGTCACATTCTCTCTCGCAGCCTCCCAGGCATCCGCCAGCCCGACACTTGGGGTATGGCGCAGCACGGCCACGCACGCAGCCTGCACGCGCAGCATCTCCGCTGGCACCAACTCCAACCCACTCAACGTTCAAGGTGCACAATACTGGAAAATTAAAGCTATGTCGTACCGTAGCAGGCAGGTGATGCAGGCTGTTGTTAGGGGAAGCAGATCTTTACTGCCGAAAGCATCCATTCCAAAGAAACAGGTATTTCATTTGGAACTGGGGAACGTCAGAAGCAAAATGTATGAACTTTGATTTGCCTCCTCTACACTAATCTGCTCTAATTTTAGGGTCCCGCTCCCAACTTGCAAGGGAAATTTAAAAGACATTTCTGTATATTGCATGTTCCTTAGCTAGGGAGAAAAAAGATGCTTCAGTTGCTGAAACAAAACAACAACAAAAAAAAGACGCGTGCTATGGATTGTGTGAGGCAACATTGAAACTTCAGTGCTTTGCCACTGAAAATCCACATCTGAAAGATAAAAACATCTTTAAAAACGGCTTCAAATTCATTTAACATTAGATGGGAAAAGAACAGTAATTACTGGTCACAAAGATGTTTTCTTCCCAAATGAAACTCAAGAGACATGTGAACAGGCCATCACGCCGTGACAGCTGTGGAGGCAGAGCACCCACCGACTGTAAGATTAACCCTTCAGAAAAAATTTTCCACCTACTTCATTCTTCTTCTAGATCAGTGTCCTGCCATGAATGGGTAAAGGAATAGTCTGAGGCTCAAAGCTAGACAAGCCTGAACATTACGCAGACAAGCTCTCTGCACATCTGAATGACAGTTTTGACCTTCTAGCACAGAATGAAACCCGCTGTCCTTCTAACATTACAATACTCTACAACTCACCCAGTAAAAAAAATTAGAGGCTGCTGTGAGACTGTGTATGGGTATCGCTGCTAACACCGATAGAAGTATCTAGGGCTGTTCTTGAAGGAACAGCAGAGACCTCAATATGGCACCACAGTATGTCGTAAGGATGAGGAATCTGAGGAGCGGTTTTGTCCGAGGCCACAACGGGAGGTGCGAGCCCTGCGCAGAACTGAGTGCTGCGACTTTACGACTGCTGCGGTCAAGGACATCCCAAGAGAAACGCGCCCTCTGCTCACGCGTGCTGCTGGGAATGATGTGGTAACGCCATGTCCCTCGCTGGGTCTGGAGGGACATTTGGGATGCATCAGTAGTTAAGAAAAACATCCAGAGAAGTGAACGGTGGCGGGGGGGGGAAATCAATGCACAAAACTCCAAAGATCTCATCAATCTAATGGCAATCAAAACGGAAAGGTCTTCCTCAGGCAAGCATCAACCCTCTGTAATTGGTGCTCAGGACAAACTGCTTACCAGTCACCTTGCCAAGGGCAAGGAAGGTTTGCTGAGGAGTCAACTACTGTCAAGAAAACTTAACTCTTCCCCAGTTGGTCCAGACGTCTGAGTAGTTGTGACGTTTTCTGCTACAAAGGCTCTTAGTCCAAGAGAAAAGTACTCAATGTGAAAAAGCTACATTAAAAAGGGGAAAAAAAATGACAATTTTATTGCCAAATTAGAAGCTCACCAAGAGGTAAATGAGCTGTACTTAGTGAGCTACTCTGTTCAAGGCAAAATTTCCCTTGTTTACAGTTAAGATGAAGAAGGATAGGGGAAAAGAGAGAAAGTAGCAGCCTCCGTGCCAATATACAAGTGGGAAAGGTTCAGAAGCAATGGGGAAAATATCACACCGAGGCTTCTACAAAGAAGCCTCCATTTGGAATAGCTACAACCAGGAGCCACCATGAAGTTGCCCGTTGTAACAGAGCTTATTTTCAAATAAAATTCACCACAGAACCAAAAGTAAAATAAAAAAAGTATCAAACAGATTCCCGCAGTGTTAGAAGTAGTGTGAGGTATCTGTTCACCTCGGCCACGAAACACAGCTTCAGAGACTAAACCAAGCTAAAAGGCCTTTTGTTATTGCGCTAGGATACTACAAAGAACAGATATTCCATCTGGCTTCAAAAGAAGTTGAAAGTTTTCTATTCTGCACTGCTAACAAAATATTTTTCAGGAACAGATTGTAGTAGCATAGACTTTGCATCTTACTTAAGTGTACGCTATCACAGTCTGTCAGACAACAGAGTGTAGCCAGCTTGAGAGAAGTGTTAACCCTAAGAGCCTAGTTTATATCCCAGTGCTTAGCTTCACCTAGCTGGACACAGCACAAAGGTTACAGTCTACAGTGTGTATATATATATATACAGTGTGCGTGTGTGTATATATATATCTCTCTCTCGCGCCACCCAGAAACACACACACACGCACACACACATTCGTACCTATAAAACTAAAGAAAAATCAGTACATACAATGTATAAAACGTATGAATGTGCTCAAAAATGCACAAAACCCGCTTTATTTTCATACTTCAGAAATGCTCAATAATTTGTACGCATGGTTCTGACTACTGCTATCCATCCACTTCATTAGACCAGAACTTGAACTCAGAGGAGGAGACGGTAAGAGATCCCACAGGGTGGAGGATTGCTCCTCGTTTCATACCACTGCTGTTAGAGCCAGTCAAACCAGAGAGCAGGACGCGGGCGGTGGTACGGCTCCAGGCGGAGAGGCTTCCTAACAGTGCTTCCTCCCACTTGCGTGCCAGCAGCACACCCCAGAACTGTGATTCACGCTCTCCGATGGATTCAAGATTGTTAGCAAGTGTCTGAATGTCAAGACACCAGATATGATGTCAATAACTAAACTCAGTTTTCTGTGCAAAAGGAGTTGAATTGTCAAGACCAATCCCCAAGTACAGTATATAAGCCTATAGGCAAGACACAGAATAGAAAGTAGCAGCATATTCAATGGGGAAAGAG